GGGGGGGGTTGGCTTTTTTTAATACATTTTTATTATTTACTTTTACTGTTTGGGGCTTTGGGGAAATATTAAGGGTCTAAACAGACCCCTGACATTTCCCTTTTGAAATAAAAAAGAGATTGAAGACACAGCGTCCTCTGCCCATACAGGTGGGGCAGAACAGCGGGGATCCGAGGAAAAGCTGGAGCCGGTGCCGCTCCTCTTCTCCCTGCTGAGCCGCGGCTGTGTTGGCCGCCTGGTGCCCATTGCCAATGGCACCCTGTGCTCACTATGGCAAAGGGGGTGAGAGGGAGCAGTCAGGCCGGCCCTGGCTGCGCCCCCTCTCAGCTGCGCCTGAGGCGAGTGCCTCACTCGCCCCATGGTAGCTACAGCCCCGGGTGTCATAATACCTGAACACTGTCTGCAGCTAATTGGCTCCAGTCTCTGTTCCGCCGACAATTTTCCATCTGCCTCCACATCAAAGGTCAATAGATCTTTTGTCCAGCCGGGTGGTGTCAGCAGGGCCCCCCACAGCTTGAGTTTAGTCAGATTCAGAAGGAGAAGGCAGAAATGTGATCTTGTGTTTGGAGCATAAAGAAATCAGAGTCAGTTGTGTGCATATAAGTCACACTGATATGTTGTATGGATCTAGAGGTGGGTACATGGGAAGGTTCTACAATTAGGTAAATAATGTAATTTTGGGGAATTGGTAGGGGTGGAATATGAAGGAAAAGTTAGGGGGGGCTAGAACTGGGGCAGTAGAGTGTATGTAGAGCAGGGGTAGGCAACCTGGGCACTCCAGATGTGCTGAAACTACAAATTCCATCATGCCTTGACCTCTGGTAGTCATGCATGCAGCGTTAAAAAATATCTTTCTGACAACCAACTGCCTGAGAGGTGCCTTCTTCTGATGGACAATGCCCTGGCACACCCTCCAGCCTTGGTGGATGATATGGACGCTGAGTATGACTTTATAAAGGTCAAGTTCCTCCCCCCCAACACGACACCTCTTCTGCAGCCCATGGACCAGCAAGTGATCTGCAACTTCAAGAAGCTGTACACAAAGGCGCTCTTCACCAGGTGTTTTAATGTCACTGAAGAGACGTCTTTGACTCTGAAAGAGTTCTGGAAGAAACATTTCAATGTCCTCCACTGCATCAACCTCATTGACAAAGCGTGGGAAGATGTCACGTAACGGACCTTGAACTCAGCCTGGAGGAAACTATGGCCAGAATGTGTCACTGAACGGGACACGGAAGAGTCTGATGCACAGGTAGTGGAGGAGATTGTGTCCATGGGCAAGACTATGGGTCTGGATGTCGATGGTGCAGACATAGAGGAGCTTGTTGAGGACCATAAGGAGGATCTCACGATGCAAGAACTTGCTGAACTCCAGAGTGAGCAGTTGAAGGCACTCGTTGAGGTGCATTCCACTGAGGAAGAGGAAGACAGGGAGGAGGTTAGCAGTGATTATATAACATCCATAATGGAAAAATGGAATGTGTGCCAGGATTTCTTTGAGAAGCACCACCCCAACATAACTGTGACGAACAGAGTCTTGAATCTGATGAACGACAACGTGGTCTCTCATTTTAGGAGAGTTCTGCCGCGCAGGAAAAGACAAGTGGCATTAGACAGATGTTTCGCCAAAATTGACCCTGCAGCTAAGAGACAAATAAGAGAGGAAACCCCTGAAGGAGATCTCCCCGATGTCCTTATGGAGGGGAACTCTCCCTCCAAACAATAACCTCATCCCCACCCACCTTCCTGTCCTCCACGCCAGAAGGCGCCCCAAGAAAGATTAATACTGTACTGTACTGTACTTCATATTTTTGCGGTTCAAATTTTTTTTTCATATGGTGCAGAACGGATTAACCTCATTTACATTGAACCCT